TGAGCCAACAGTGGCTGTTTGCAGGGGTAAGATGCAAAGAAGTTTGGATGTGCAGAGAGGAGAGTCTTCATAAATCTGGTGTGACATGCAGTCTGTATGGAAAGCGAAGGTGTTGTGCCATGAGGCAGGATTTGGGGACTGAAGAACAGCCTTCCCTGGATCTCCAAGTTCTAGAGAGGAATTACAAAGAATCCAAAAATTTTAATTTTGAGCTTAAATTTCCAGGTTATTAAAAACAAATCTTAACAAAAAAGAGATAAAGTACTTATTACAATATTTTGTTAGCTTGATATAATTTAAATATTTAAATCTATGCTTCATGTACTTGTGGCCTGATTCCTATAAAAGAGGCAGGGCTGAATGAGGGATCTTAGAAGCACTGTGATCAGGGTACCCTAAGCATACTTCCTGGGATGTGGCACAAGAACTCCAAATGCAGAGCCTCATGACATTGGTGTGTCACTAAGTCAGACATGGAAAGAGAAATGCAACAGATTCAGGAAGCAAGAAATGGTCATAGGAAGTTGATCAGTTTATTAGTCTGTTCTCCAGCTATTAATAAAGACATACCAAAGACTGGATTATTTATAAAGGAAAGAGGTTTCATTGACTCACAGTTCCACAATGCTGGGAGACCTCACAATGATGGCAGAAGGTGAAGGAGGAGCAAAGCCACAACATACAGGCAAGAGAGCATGCACAGGGGAACTCCCTTTATAAAACCGTCGCATCTCATGAGACTTATTCACTATCATGAGAACAGCGTGGGAAAAACCTGCCCCCATGATTTAACTACTTCTCACTGTGTCCCTCCCGTGATATGTGGGGATTATTACAATTCAAGGTGAGATTTGGGTGGGGACACAGAGCCAAACCATATTAGACAGCAAGAGGGACTTGGTTCCTTTCTCCTAAATTATTTTAATTTCCCAGTAACTCAGTCCCAGTCTGCTGTCTTCAAACTTAATCTATTCTCTCTGATCATATCATGTTATTTTTTTTTCTCAGTATTTGAAAGAATAACATTACACTATAGTATTATATTTGTCTCTCCCCACCCTATCTCCTGGATGTTGTACTGAAATTTTTTTTGTGTTTTCATAAACTGCAACACTCTTCTATATTCTGTCCATCATTTTAAGGGTTAGAATACTTTGTTTTTCTTCGGCTTTTAGTAACGTCTGTATTTCCCAAACTCTAATTATTGTTTTAACTGTTTCTTATCCTCTCACCCTTTTTTCCCCACTGCTTTTTCCTTCTTTTCTTGTCTTTTCCTTTTCTTTCTTTTCTTTTCTTTTTTTTTTTTTTTCTTCTAGACAAGGTTTTACTCTGACACCTAGACTGTATTCAGTGGTGTGATCTTGGCTCACTGCAGCCTTGGCTTCCCAGGCATAGGTGATCTTCCCATCTCAGTCTCCCAAGTAGCTGGGACTACAGGCACACACCACCATGCCTGGATATTTTTATTTTTAATTTTTGTAGAGACAGGGTTTCACCATGTTGCCCATGATGGTCTTGAATTCCTGACCTCAAGTGGTCTGCCAGCCTTGGCCTCCCAAAGTGCTGAGATTACAGGCGTAAGCCACCAGGCCCAACCCCCACCACACTTTTTCTATCTTCCTTCCCTATTTCCTGGTTCATGTATAATGGAGAGCAGTCATATAGCTATATCAGGACCATTTGATTTCCTCAACACTTTCTGGACAAAAATACTTAAGCCAGAGTACAGAGAGGTAGCTCCAGGCTTTACAGGGAGCTGGGGGATGGGCTACATATAGGGGAGAGCACACATTCTATAACTCTTTTGTTTAAGGGTAATAAGGTAAAATGTGGAGGAAAAGGGTGATGGTTTGTTAAGAAGAGGATGAAGAAGATGATATGAAAGTGATTGCAAGAGAAAGATTGGAGGAACCTTTGAAGGAAGGACACATTCATAACTTATGGCTGAGTTTCTGTGGCTATTCACTGAATTAAAAAATTACCTTCCTTGTACTACACATCTCTTTAGTTGCTAGAGGGGAATGATAGTGAATGGCCATTGCAGGGAGAGCTTCACAGATGCTTATTGAAAGGCATCTATCTGCTCACCTGGTACTTCTACAAGAATTAAAATATCCTGCTCTCATGATGCTTATACTGTTCCCAAGGAACCAACGTTTATACACATGAATGTAACATAAGTTGGAGCTGTTTTCTCAGAACAGGCATAGGAAAGTAAAGGGCATCTTTCTTTTGCACAGCCAGGCCAACACACATACATGTAAGAGCAATTTTCACCCAGCCTGTGGCCCACAAAACCAGTTGCAACACTTCAGTTTCCCTTTGCCTGGGCACAGATCCTTGGCACACACTGGAGCAGTATTTCCACGTCTTTCTGTGTAGTCCAAACCCTTTATGGTTGGGCTCTTTTTGGTGGTTATATTTGTATAAAACAAGGGAGTAGCAACTCTTTTGTTCTTTTTTTCTCTATTTTATGTAAAGCATTCAGTCAGTACACTCTGCTTCTTGTCCTACTCACTCTGAAAATAGTGACTTTTTTTTTAACTAGCTATGAGCCACAGATCGTATATGACTTGGGCATAATAAGTATATATTATATATGTGTATATAATATCTATGTACATAATATGTATATTTTCTTGGACTTCAGGACAACAACCAAAGACTGTAGCAAAGTTAAGAACTCCCAAGTTAAGAGATCTCACAGAGTCTATTTTCCTTCACGTATGAAAAGCCATTCTTTGGATGGAACAAACAGTGCCATACACACTACTCTGTACTTGGATGGTATGACTTAGCCTCCATATTGTAATACATGGTGGTGCAATGTTTTGTCTTCCAAAAGCTGCATGCAATAGTAGCGAAAATTTAGACCTTCTGCAAATAGTGCAAGTTCAACACCAGTCCTACAGTTTTCAGTTGTATGACCTTGAATAAGTTTCTTAATTTCACTGGTCTTTACTTTCCTTACCTGTAAAAGGGGTTAATAGAAACACTTACCTCCCTGGATTTTGAGACTTACATGAAATGACTGTTTAAATAGGACTTGGCACATAGATACTCAGTGTATGTGAGTTTTTTGTTCTTTCCCACCCTTACCATGAGATCTTCCTGCATTCCTGAAAGGAAGTGAAATTGAGTGGTTGAGTGAACAGGTATTAGAGTTATGCTCTCTCATTTTACGGCCCTGGAACCCTGAGCAAGTTTCTTAACCTATCTTTACAATTGGAATTAACAACTGAACTCACTTCGCAGGGTTATAATATGAATGAAAAGAAATAATTATATGAAATGATTAATCCGGAGCCTCTTCCAAATAATGTCCGGAAATACTGGTGTTTTTAAAATCATACTGTGCCTTGGCCACTTATGCCTTCTCTAGCCCTATCCCAACAGAGAACTGATGCATTCTGTGGAGAGGCTCCATTGTAACCAGTTCCTGAGCCAGTCTGGACCAAAGCATGCCACCAGCTAAGTGATCTGAAATTAGTCTGTAATAGAGGAAATATTTTTGCAGATATCCTCATATATTTTAATTTCCACCTTGAAAATGTTTTGCCCTTACAGCCTTTTTTTTTCCCCTCAGACTGTGCCCTGTGGTGTAGTGCCCCAAGGCAGGAAGTAGAGATTTCTTGACTTTCTAGCAAGATATGAGATTGAAGCCAGATTAAGAAGATTCTACCACACTAGTTTAAGCTAAGGGAATGCAGACAGAAGAGGAAGGATTGAGACTGGGGTCAGGGAGCCAAATCTTTCTACCTCTGGATAATGGTGGAAAGAGGGAGATTGAAATGTGGGGGAAAAGAAAGCTATTAGATGTAAAGGGTCAAGATGGCTCTTGTTTGGACTGCAGTTTGGGAAGGCAGATGTGTACAGTAGTATAGGGATTATTGTTAAATAAGAAGAAATATTGCCCAGATTCCTAGTTGGGACTCTAGAACAGACTGCCTCTTGGCTGCTTTTCTCTTCCACCTACGTCCTTCCTTCCTAACCCTACTTTACCAATCTTTATTGCAACTTTATGAAAGTAAATTTGGTTGCCTGGCTAGGTTAGGCAGAGAGAAGTCCTTCAACTCATCTTTCACAAATGGAAGTGAATGGTCATTACAAGGAAAGCTCCTTCACTGATACTTATTGTAAGGCATCTATCCACTCCACTCACTCTTATATTCTGCATGTCATCGCAGAGATCCAAAAGTTCCTTTATCCTCTTTGGAAGGGATTTCAAAGGCAGTTGAGTTGAGATCCAGTTGGATTGTGCTAACACCACCTGTGCCAATAGATAGGTAGCCTTCAACAGAGCCTGGAGATGGTCATCTATCTATGGGGGATGGAAGGAGAATCAGATTTAAGGTAAAGGTAGGTTTCCAGGGGGAGTTACACAGTCCTGATAAAGCCAAGAGATGTCACGAGTTACACAAGCAACAGACATCACCCACGCCCACCAAAGGCAAGAGGTATTTCTGCATATCCTCACCTTCCATCTCTGTGTAATTTCTCTTTTTAGGAAAATCATATGACATGGGTGACCTACATTCAGAGTGGGCTGGGGGCCTGCAGTTAAGATTGGAACTGTTTGCATAATGAAGATGGAATGGTACAGAGAATTAGCTGTTATTCGATTTATGATGGCCACCACCACTCCACTGTTGGCTAGACTTTGGGAATCTGAGCTAGCTTCCCATTGCATGCCAGCGGGAAGAGCAGGCCAAAGAGAAAGACAGTACAGTGACCAAGCCCATAGCCTGGACTTGCAAAGCAGGCCCTGGCAAATTGGTCAGGGGACATGAGCAGTCGAAGTAGCTTAATCTGATGTTAATAAATATGGGGATTTTATTTTCTCAAAAAATAACGTGAACAAAAAAAGAACCACTGCAAATATCCCCCCATACCAGTTCATGCCTTGTGGCTAAACTTCAGCTTTGTGCTGAAATGGGCATTCTCAGTTTCTTTTTAGTTGTTCTGTTAAAAAAAAAATTGCATATTGCAAAATACTCAACAGGAGTAAACTTAAATTCTGTTTTTTATACATAAAATGTCCAAATTAATTATGATAAAAAAAGGAAACTGACAAATATTCACAGTTATCTATATACCACGAAAAATAGAAATAAAAGGCCAAGGTATGAGGCTGGCAATCAAGTTACAGTGACAGATGCTAAAGTGTGAGGAGCTAGTGGCTGTTGATAACAGGAAAAGATAAACTGAGGCACAGCATACTGGGTAACCAAGAAACAGAAAGAAGAGATCATCTCTGCCTTTGGCAATTGGTGGGGTGAGGCAGAACTAGATAAAGGGTGGGACTGGATAGTCATGGGCAGACCAATCTACAAAGCATGCTCTAAATCAGAAAGATAGTACCAGTTGGCACTGCAGGAAACTCCTTGCAGACTTTCACACTGTAAATTGGCCCAACTACTACAAAGTAAAGCATCACTATGGTATGGAAAGTAACATTGTTATTCCAACTTTACTAGAAGATTTTTGCAAATTGGGAGGTATAACCCAGGTTTGCCTCCAATTCCAAGAGCAGCTTTTGGACATCATAGTCATTGGAAGCTGAAATTCCATAATAGAACAATAGGTGGTTATACAATTTACCTGGACAAACACTTTACCAGTATGAATAGCTAGTGCTAGCTGTTTATTAATACAAACAGCAGAGGAAAGGTGCTGCAACGTAAGATGCAATTCCAATGAAGTTGAAATGTTGTGTCACATTCAATCCATCTTACAAATGTACAGAAAAAGACAAACAAATTTCATTACTTAAAATTTGGTATTTGAAAAAGCACTAAATTATTAGCTGGTTATGGTGTCCATTTGTCTCAGTCTACCCCTGAATAGAGGCAACATTTGAGCTAGGCGTTAAACAATGGGCAGGATTTGAACATGCAAATAGTAAAGACACCTATAAGGCAAGAGAAGTAAACTTCTGGCAGGGAGGTCTCTTCTCTACCTGGTCCTCCACTCTCCAATATGTGAAATTTGGGGAGTTCACACAGCAGTACTTGTTGGGCTCATTTGCCAAACAGAAAAGACCTAATTAATGTCCCATCTTCTTTAGTATGTACCCCAAAAGATGTCTGGCAACTTAGCTTTCCTGAATTCTCAGTCAGACCCTAAGATAGCATGGTGTGGATAAAGAGTATGGGCTGTGGAATCAGGCAGGCTTGGGTTTGAATTCTGGCTCCATCTTGTACTGACTGTGAACCTTCTCTGAATTTACTTACCCTTACTAGAGAGGATTTAGTCTCTTCATTTTAAAAATGGGAACAACTTCAATTTCCATGTAGAGATGTTGTATTATTTGAGATAACACATGTAAAGCATCTATCATCTGGGAATAACTCAATGAACAGAACCTTTGGATCATTAGTTTGAAGCTTTGTCTTTCCCATTGCAAAACTGGTAAAGAAGCACCATATCTTTCCTTCTGTTCCAACCAGTCTGCACTGCCTGTGGTTTTGGGATAGCAAGTCTGCACCTGACACATATTCAAATGGACACTTACCTGCCATACCTTGACATTGTCTGGTCTGATAATTTACCGATCTGTGCTGTAGAAGATTCACCCAGACCTGAATGGGGTTGGGTTTCCATGACCCATGAGTCAATTGCCATGGTAAGTGACACAGTTTGAATATTTGTCTCCTCCAGATCTCATGTTGAAATGAGATCCCCAGTGTTGAAGGTAGAGCGTAGTGGGAGGTATTTGGGTCACGGGGGTGGATCCTTTATGAATGGCTCGGTGCTCTTCCTGTCGTAATGAGTTCACAAGAGATTTCGTTGTTAAATAGAGTTGGGGATCTCCCACTTCTCTCTCTTGCTCTCTGTCTTTCCATGTGATATGCCGACTCCCCTTTTGTCTTCTGCTCTGATTGTAAGCTTCCTGAGGCCTCACCAGAAGCAGAGGTTGGTACCATGCTTCTTATACAGCCTGCAGAAACATGAGCCAAAATAAACCTCTTTTCTGTATAAATTACATCTACAGAAAATATGTATATACAGAAAATACAAACAAAAATCTTAGAACAGTACTTGCACACAGTTAGCATTCATTTTCTGTATAAATTACCTAGTCTCTGTATAAATTACCTAGTCTTATGTATATACATAATATATATATTATGTATATATATACATATTATGCTCATTTCTTACCTAGTCAATGCAAAATGGACTAACACAGTAGGCAATCTACTTGCACAATATTTTATACCCTGCAGTGAACTATGGTGACTGTGTATTTTGTTTGCCATCATACTTTTCTAACTCTCTTCTTTGAGTAGTCTCTTCCATTTAGTGATAGGATTGGAGTATGACCCAAGCCTAGCCATTTAAAGTACACCACTGTGTACAGTAAAGGCCACTGTGTTTTGTCCAAGACAGAGTCATATGACTCAAGCTGGACTAGCTGATACACTGGGAGAAAAAAAAGCTGTTGATTCCTCTAGAGTTATTAAGCTACTTCTGTTGAATCTGGTTCTACCAGAAGCTATTTCGTTACCATCTGAAGAGAACCTTACTTTTGTATTAAGAGCTAACATTAATTGAAGGCTAACTGTGTGAAATTACTATTCTAAGAGTTTTGTTTGTATTTTCTCACTTGAACCTCACAATACCCTTATCTTGTATATAATGTTATAATTATTATTAGAGAGATGAGGAAATTCAGGCACAAAGAGGTAAGGTCACTTGCTCAATGTTACATTGATAGAAAGTGATATAATTTGAATTTATGCAAACTGTGTTATTATTCTCTAGGCCAGTGGTTCTCAACTGGGGGCGACTTTTTCCCTGAGGGGACATGTAGCAACCTCTGGAGACACCTGTGTTTTTCAAAACTTGAGAGCAAGGTGCTACTGTTATCTAGGGGATAGAGGCCAGGGAAGATGCTAAGCATCCTAAAGTGCACGAGACAGTTGCCCCAACAACAAATAATTATCTAACCTCACATTTCAATAGTACTGATTTGAGGAACCCTACTTTCGGCTGTTCAAGTTTCCTAGTGCTGACAAACAGAAATGAGAGAAGAATGGAAGTGTGGACTGATGGTAGCAATGGTCCTTGAGCTCCCAATACCGTGTGCTGGCTTCAAAACATTCCCAGCTACTTAAGCCAAAAGGAAAGACCTTAGTCAAACTTTCCTCACCGTAAAGGGCATCCTTATGGCTGCAAGCAGGAGAATCTTGACCAATACATATATAAAGTTGCAAGCAGGAGAATCTTGAACAATACATATCCAAAGTCCATTTTCAGTCTACTCTAGTCACCACCATTGGAAAAGATGTGTATGATTTCTGTGTATGTCATTTGTCCACTTTAGACTACAAGGACTATAGTGATTTTTTTTCTCTACCTATCACAATCCTTAATTAGCGCTTTCAGGAAAAAGTGATAGTGATAAGCCATCACATGTATCACACAGGTCAGTATGGAAATGATCCTCAACAATATTTTTCTTTACATTTAATTTAGAAATTAAAATTCAGTGAAAGATAATTTATCAAACATTTAGGTTTAGAGGCAAATGCATGCTCATCACTTCTGCTCCAGGAGCCATTTTTTAAAATTTAAAATTTTATTTATTTGTTTATTTTTTATTATTATACTTTAAGTTCTAGGGGACATGTGCACATTGTGCAGCCATGTTGGTGTGCTGCACCCGTTAACTCATCATTTACATTAGGTATACCTCCTAATGCTATCCTTCTCACCTTCCCTCTCTCCACGATGGCCCCAGTGTGTGGTGTTCCCCACCATGTGTCCAAGTGTTCTCACTGTTCAATTTCCACTTATGAGTAAGAACATGCGGTGTTTGGTTTTCTGTCCTTGCGATAGTTTGCTCAGAATGATGGTTTCCGGCTTCATCCACGTCCCTACAAAGGACATGAAATCATCCTTTTTTTTATTGCTGCATAGTATTCCATGGTGTATATGTGCTACATTTTCTTAATCCAGTCTTTCATTGATGGACATTTGGGTTGGTTCCAAGTCTTTGCTATTGGGAATAGTGCTGAAATAAACATACGTGTGTATGTGTCTTTATAGCAGCATTATTTATAATCCTCTGGGTATATGCCCACTAATGGGATGACTAGGTCAAATGGTATTTCTAGTTCTGGATCCTTGAGGAATCACCACACTGTCTTCCATGATGGTTGAACTAGTTTACAGTCCCACCAACAGTGTAAAAGCGTTCCTATTTCGGCTAGGTGCAGTGGCTCACATCTATAATCTGTGGGATTATTCTCAGCACTTTGGAAGGCCGAGGTGGGCAGATCACGAGGTCAGGAGATTGAGACCATCCTGGCTAACACGGTGAAACCCTGTCTCTACTAAAAATACAAAAAAATTAGCCAGGCATGGTGGCAGGCGCCTGTAGTCTCAGCTACTCAGGAGGCTGAGACTGGAGAATGGCGTGAACCTGGGAGGTGGAGCTTGCAGTGAGCTGAGATAGCGCCACTGCACTCCAGCCTGGGTGACAGAGCAAGATTCTGTCTCAAAAATAAAATAAAATAAAATAAAAAATAAAGCGTTCCTATTTCTCCACATCCTCTCCAGCACCTGTTGTTTCCTGACTTTTTGATGATTGCTATTCTAACTGGTGTGAGATGATATCTCATTGTGGTTTTGATTTGCATTTCTCTGATGGTCAGTGATAAGCATTTTTTCATGTGTCTGTTGGCTGCATAAATGTACTCGGTTCTTGATGAGAAGGTGTCTGTTCATATCCTTTGGCCCACTTTTTGGATGGGGTTGTTTGATTTTTTCTTGTAAATTTGTTTTAAGTTTTTTGTAGAGTTCTGGGATATAGCGCCTGTTGTCAGATGGGTTGTAGATTGTAAAAATTTTCTTAGTCCCATTCTGTAAGTTGCGGCCTGTTCCTCTTGACTGGTACTGTAGTTTCTTTTTGACTGTGCAGAAGCTGTTGTTATTTGCTGGTAATTAGATCCATGTTCAATTTTCAGCTTTTGTTGACATGGCTTGTTGGTGTTTGGTAGTCGCATGGAATTGTGGTTGCCCATGCCTATGTTCTGAAGATGGGTATTGCCTTAGGTTTTTCCTCTGTAGTTGTGTTGTGTGAGTTTAGGTCTAACAGTTGTTGAAGGCTTGTAATCACCTGTGTGAATTGAGTTTTTTATTAAGGTGGTAAGGAAGGGATCCAGTCTTTCAGCGCTTTCTTGTATGTTTATGCCAGGGCCGTCTTGTTCCCAGCTTTATCATTTATTAAACATGGGAATCCTTCGCCCATTTCTTGTTCCTTTGTCAGGTTTGTCAACGATCACGATGTTTAGATGTGTGGTATTATTTCTGAGGCCTCTAGTTCTGGTTCAGTATGCGTCGTATTTATCTCTGCGTTTGGTACCAGTACCATGGCTGTTTTGTGGTTAGTCTAGCCTTAGTATACTTTGAAGTCAGGCGTAGTGTTGGATGCCTCCGCAGCTTGTTCTTTTGGCTTAGGATTGGTCTTGGCAATGGTGGGCCCTTGTTTTGGGGTTTCCATATGGAACTTTAAGAAGGTATTTTTTCCAAATTCTGGTGGAAGAAAGTCCGCGACTGGGGTAGTTGTGATCCTGGGATGGCATTGAATCTCTTATAAACAAAAAAATTACCTTGGCACTATGATCCATTTTATGAATATTGAGTTCTTCCGTCGTATCCATAAGCATGGAATGTTCTCCATTTGTTTGTGTCCTCTTTATTTTCTTTGAGCAGTGATTGCAGATTTCCATTGGAAGAGATCCCTTCACAATCCCCTCCGTGTAAATTCGGCTCACTCTCCTACGGGTATTCATGTCTCTGTTTTGAAGCAATTTTGAATGAGATTCACTCGATGATGTGGGCTCTCTGTTATCGTATGGTTGATTGGCTGTATATGAATGCTTGTGATTTTTGGGCAAATGTGATTTTGTATCCTGAGACTTTGCTGAAGTTGGTTTAATCAGCTTAAAGGAGATTTGGGCTGAGACTGTGGGGTTTCTAAATATAAATCGCATGTCATTTGGCAAAACAGGGACAATTTGACTTCCTCTTTGTCCTAATTGATTGTACCCTTTTTCTTTCTCTTGCCTGATTGGCCCTGGCCAGAACTGTCCAACGCGTGTGTTTGAATGAGGACAGTGGTGGAGAGAAGGCATCCCTGCCTTGTGCCAGTTTTCGAAAAGGATGCTTCCAGTTTTTGCCCATTCAGTATGCATATTTGGCGTGTGCGTTTGTGCATTAAATAGCTGTCTTATTATATTTGAGATACATCCCCTCCAATACCTAGTTTATGAGCAGCTTTTTAGCATGAAGTGCTGTTGAATTTTGTCAAAGGCCTTTTCTGCATCTATTGAGATAATCATGTGGTTTTTGTCATTGGTTCTGTTTATACTATGGATTGCATTTATTGATTTGCATATGTTGAACCAGCCTTGCATCTCAGGGATGAAGCCCACTTGATTGTGATGGATAAGCTTTTTGATGTGCTCCTGGATTCAGTTTGCCAGTATTTTATTGAGAATTTTTGCACTGGTGTTCATCAGGAATATTGGTCTAAAATTCTCTTTGTGTGTGTGTCTCTGCCAGGCTTTGGTATCAGGATGATGTTGGCCTCATAAAATGAGTTTCAGAAGG